TTATAAATATTAATGTGTGTACCAGGTACCTATCCATTTCTTTCCGTAGAGACGTGAAATAGGTTAAAATGAAAATAACCAGAATGAAAAAAGGTTTGTAAATTTATAGATAATTTATACCACTATTTAAATTAATGAATTTTCCATCAATATTAGAACCAATTTGCATTAACTACTTATTTCTAATATCCTCATTTTTTGGAAACCTATGTAAATGTACGTTAGGTTCGTTAGGTCGTAATTCCTTTTTACGAGAGCCGCTGTCACAATTCGGGAACACACACACAGGCATTTCGTGCAGTTTAGTTTTAAATTAATATTTATAATTTATTATAACTCAAAAGAAAATCAAGTTAATATACATTTCATAGGAAAATGGACAGGTAATTGAAAAAACACACTAAATAAGAATTAGAAAATATGTTTTTATTAAAATCACAGTCTACATATTTTGATATATCATTGTATCAATTACAAATTAAAATGTATAAGCTACCTAATCAAATAATATAAATTATATTTGTATGTGTATTGTATTATTAATTGATATAATATTGATCATATAAATACAAAAATCTAAGTATATTTAATATTTATTATTTATACATAATATATAAATTACATTTTTATAATACATATATGCCGTTATTAATAATATAGATACGAATATAAAAGTATAATAAATTATACATTTAACAATGTTATTGTAATAGAACAAATGTACAATACGATAATAAAAATTCACTCTTTTTATAATATCATTATATCTATTTTGTCATATTCTACAACTAGAGTGTACGTTTGTAGGGAAAATACAGGCCAATCAAATCAGTAGAATGGCTTACGTCACAGTTCCAGATGAAGTGCGGGAGGGGTGCACGTTCTCGTCCAATAATTGTTATGTTGATAGCATACCTATCTATTTTGTCATGAATAATGTTATGTTAGTTGATGATACATTTATATGTTATTTTTATGTGATCGAATCCTAATATAGCGGTAACATTTTGTAACTTAGAATGCGCAGTGGGATTGCACTAATTAGCATTTAAAAAAATATTTGTTCGATAATTTGAATGTATTTTTAAGTCATATTGTAGTCTGAGGATTTTTTTTCCGGAAAATTTAATTTGGACATAACCTTTTTTTGAACTCAAGTACAACTTTAAAATTTTGGATTAGGTGAGGATTATAGTTCGACTCAGTACCATTTACTTAAACTTATAGAAATATGGCAACATTTTACAAATATCTTAGTAAATAACATGTAGGTATAAATCATGTCAATAAAATGTACACAATTCCTTTCATTTTTAAGGGTGTGCGGATCATATTATATAATAATAAATACATATAGGTACCCTGCAGAGCTACTCCCTCGGTTTATTTATCTTGTCTCTTGTTAGATGGCTGTCCTAAACATCATAAATCAACAATGATATCGGACAAAAAAATCGTGTTTCCGGGTTTATATAATACAATATACAACAAAAGAAAATAATTCGATTATTGGTACCTCTAAGGGACGGTGGCAACAATCCGTAAAGGTATCTTTATTGATTTCGTTAAATTCCGAAAACTGATTCTCGTGGTATGTAACATTCCACATGACCCACATTATTACAATTTATTAACACGTCAATAGTGCAATAATTGAAATTTATCAGCCATGTAGACACGGATCTTTTCATATTATACCTAAATACAGATTTCATATTTGCTTATACGAGTAAAATTTACGATTATGTTATATAAAGGTGATGTTAAAAATATATTGTTATTAATTGCTGTAAAGGCTAATTTAATATGGGAAATAACACATTGATAACAATTATAAAATTATATTTATTTTGGTATAAAGGGTTTCAACTGAGAATTTCGACAAAATAATCCCAAATCGCCATAATTTGAAAATTGTTTTGTAGTTAGAAATTCAGAAAACAATTTTTTTCATGCTTATAAATAATACAGAATTTCTCATAATTGTTTCCAACTTTTTCAACGTAGAACTATGGTGTAAAAATAAGTAAATATACGTTGAATCGAATTAATAATAAAATATTTTAATACAGGTAATAAATGGATAAATACCTAATATGAATAATCATTAATCGCACAAATATGTGAGTAAAAAATCAGTTTAATACTTTTTGATAAGCTTTTTACAGGTGCCTTGTCATTTAATTTTAATTTGTTTTTTTTTGCCGATTTCATTTCAAGTTGGATATAAATCATTTGAGAAACAATATCCATGTTTTTCATAATAATTTATAGCATTATACAATATATTTACCTATTTTGCAACAAATTATAAAGCCTTGAAGGAGCTCTGCACAATATACACCATGATGAACCTTTAAAAATGAACAATATGATTACCTACTACCCGACCATTATGTATATTATAATGTTTTACAAAGTAGGACGCAATTCGTGTATAGTATATTTTTTACGTAAAAAATTTGAATGATACTTTATTTGTAGGTCTAACATAAAAAAATAATAATAATGTGTTTACAAAATCAATATGAAAAATGTTGACACTTAAATCCCCCTCCCATAATAACACTACTGCATCATTGGTGAGTGATGGCTACACAGGAGGTACACTTAATGAAACATACATCTACACACACCAAACATCAAAATCGATTTATCTTACTATTATCCTTCGTTTTACAATGTCAAGATGTGCATTCTGATATTAAATAATATTGGCGAAGTTTCATCGTTTGGCCGTCCTGATGTGCAATCGAATGCACCCTGCAGTCTTTACAAAAGTAATATTTATTGTTAACTAAAATATAGATATAACAATAAGATGAAATATAACTGCTTATAGGTGTACATAATTTCACGTTTTGCATTGAAAAAAAAATGAACAAATAAATATTGAACAATAAATTTAAGATATTCCTATTTGCATTTCGGTGAGTCTGGGAAAATGTAATATGAATTTAGTAGAATACAATTAAGAGAGGTGTGCTATTATGAGGCTGGTCAGAATGGATATAAACATCGATGCAGTAGTAGCCTACCAGCAACTGGTCACGTGATTATTACCCTACTGCTAAACATCAGTACCATGTAAGTACGGTGGCTTAGATTTGTTGCAGGCATTTCACCAAAACAGTGCATTTTGTAATCGCTGTAAGATGCTGGACCGAATTACGAGAATGAGTTGAATGAGCAGAAAATGACTGGTTGTTGCTTGCTCCTTGTTTATATAGTGATAAGTGATTGTGATCGTTTTATCCTCACTTAATTGTTGTTGAAGTTAAGTTAGAATTGGTTGGTTGTTCACATTTGCTACGTTAATCGTGCATCAACGTGCATTTGTATTTGTATTTTTTTTTTTTGCATTATTCGCACAAAGAGCGTGTTTTGTTAGGTCTTTTATTCCTGTGAAGTTGTCGTTATTTCCTCTTTGTATAATATATTATTGGTTAAGTGAATGTTGTATTGTTGAGCACATGTTGTAAGTTGTGCATTAGAATATACGTAATACTTAATACATATAAGGTGTGTATAATATCATACACGATTAATATGAGTAGGGGTGAAATGTTTGACATAATATTTGTTATTCATTTTGTAAATTTATCTGTATTACAATATAATAGTATATAGTATTATGTCCATGTGTGTACGTTGTTCGTGTACGGAATGTGTACTGATTTCGTTTTATAATTAAAGTGCAGGCGTTGTGTAGTCTCTTCTACGACGCATTGTTTCTTTATGTCCAAATATGGGCATAATTTTAGTGTGTGGACGGCTAAGGATTTTAATAGCTTGCTAGGAATGTTGATTGCCTAATATTATTTTATACTGCTTAATATATTTTAATTGCGTTTGATTTTTCACACCCAAATATGTTCGTATTTGGTATATTAATTTTATAAATTTATTGAAGGATGGAATATATTATTCATACATCACATGAATAAAATGTATAAATACAAATACTAACCGTATGCAAAACTGTAATTTTTCTTTATGCAAATACTTGAATTTCGACAACGATTTTAAGAACAGATCCATTGTTACATCCCGCAGAGTAACGGTACTGTTTTCACCCTTGCAGTCAACCACAACCTCGTTTGAAAGTAACACATAATACAATATCAACCCCCAAAGCTATATATGTGATATATTCATCGCTTCGCTCAGAATCTAAAAATCAAATGCACTCTTACTCATTAGGTATCGGTATAAGTAAATTGTACTCAACAGTCAACAATACGTCTAATTTAAAATTTTTTTAGTAAAGCCCATTTCATTAGTATTATCATATACGTAGTACATAATATTATAATATTAATTTAGTATTATGTAAATTTAAAATTATTATTTTGTCCAAAACGCACAGTTATCCATTTAAATGTATAGGAATAAAACTGTGCGACTACTATAACTGCACAGTTTTTTTCAGGCATCGCCTGAATTCGCACAGTCCAAAATTTTGAACTTTGCAGTCATACAATTTTCATTTACACATACAGTTAGTTTGCGAAAACTTGAGCTCATGCAGTCCGTTAGCGCAGTTTAACTGAACGTGTAAACCCACCTTCACCTGGGAAGACAAAGAAAAGGCTTGGGAAGAGATTGCTACTCAATATAATTATAACATTATATTGCTTATAATAATAATATGCTTACCCGAACACCAACTTAGTTGCGCCCCACTATCACCTAAGTCTTAAAAATATAGAGGACTAGCTGGGTGTGCAGTGGTGTAGTATCTCGAACCGTAGTGGTCGGGATCGCCGGGAAAATACTGTCGAACAACGTAAAGGTGCGTATCCACCAAAACGCACGGCCGCACGAACGGCTTCGTACGGTGTTCGGGCGTACGAACCCGTACGTTCAGAGCCATACTGTGACAATGTCTACACCTAATCGTACGAACATGTATACGTATGTCCCTCCTGTTCGCTTGATTTTCGCCAGTTAGCTCCGAACGCTTGAATAGAAACCGTGTTCACTTTTTTATTTTAACTATGAACAATAATTTAGTTAATGGAAGTCATGACTTTGATACTATGGCAGCTTGCGCTGGTTATATTATTATTCATTCTTTACTGAAAAAGAAAATTGAGAAGAAAAAAAGGAAAGCACCACGTTGGTGGATGACGTCTGCATTAAAAAGTAGGGAGATATACAGTGCAACCGATTTTCTACACGATTTGAATAAAGAAGACGGGGCAAATTTCAATAATTTTTGTAGAATGAGTTCAAGTACTTTTAACAATCTACTTGAAATGATCTCACCTAGTATTGAAAAACAGGATACCAATTACAGAAAAGCAATCCCAGCTAATGAAAGATTAGCTATAACTCTTCGATACTTAGCTACTGGAGACTCATACATAAGTCTGGCATACACATTTAAAGTGTCCAAACAATCAATTTCTAGAATTATACCTGAAGTTTGTTCTGCAATAATAGAAGTTCTCAAGGATTATGTCAAGGTTAGTAATTAATAATTATTATGTATTATAATTGTGTATAATAATAATAATATCAGTGTAAATGCATGAGGCATGACTTTATTACTAAATAACTCAAAGATAATATTAAAACAAATATTATAAATATTAAGGGAAAATAAACTTAACTTCCATACGAAAAAACATTATTAAATATGAAAAAATAAAAATAAAAATAAAATCAACTCGATAAATCCAAATAATAACATAATAATTATGTATAAATGTAAATTAAACGTATATAAGGAAAAACAATTTTTAATTAATCCATACTTGTATTCGGTAATGGTTGAAAAACTTCTGTATCACACAAAGAATTTTGTTCTGGAGGTATAAATACTGACTGAAGTTGTTGATTTGAAGTGTTTTCAACATTTGTGAATGGCATATTTTGGTATGAATATTGTGCTGGGATTTGTTGATAGGTGTGATTATTCTGGAGACTGTTATGAGGAAGGTAATTAGATGGCATTTGAGGATTTTGAAAGAAAAAAGGCTTAGTATGACCTGGCTGAGTATGAACAGAGTGAGTACTATAATGTTTCATTTCAGCATTGAAAATTAGATTCTGTATTTGATTTTCTAATATTGCCTTTTCATGTGGGGAAAATATTTTTAATTTGGTATCAATATATGTGGCAAATGGTGAATATTCATGATTTACGGCAGGTTTTTTTTCACTAATGGATTTCATGATCACAAAGGCCTCATTTATTTTAACGTCTGCATCATCTATGTCACATATACGTTTTTTTTTTGGAAATTTTTTTTCAACGGGTGGATTTTGTTTTGGTTCATTCTAGATATCATGCGTAATATTATGTTCTTCTATTGATACCGTCGTAACATCTAAATCATTTTCTGAAGAATACGAAGGTTCTTCAGTATTAATAGTATCATCAACCTAAAAGCATATATTATACAATGTATAACTACAGAATGACTCAACAAATGAAATAATTTTTATTCTAATCAATACTGATTTAATGTTTTTAAAGTATTTTATATAGACCCACGTGTGTTATAAGTACAGTATAATTTTTTTTTTTTTTTACTATTAAACATTTTAAATTAAATTACATTTTTTTTCGAATAATTCAAAAAAGTCAAATTGTAATTTTTAATTAAACAAATTTTGTCAAAATATGAACTTTAAATGGTTATAAAAAAAAACGTGCCTATGTATTTTTAATATATTTTTTTTTTATTAGATTTATTTGAGTTCTTACACTATAATTGATTATAATAACACATGTTTAAACTTAAAACAACAATATAATTTAAAAATATAGGTATTACATAAAATATGTACGTTTTCAGTTTTATAGTCGTATATAAACGTACCTACCTTCTACTTCTGATTCACAAACTCTTAAATTGTATATACTTACTTTTTCTTGGATTAATACATTTTATTGTGAAGTTTTTTTACATATTTATTTGAGTAAATACATTAAAAATTATATTGACATATTTTAAATAACATAGTATAATAATAATATTAAATATTAAAATATATAATATTAAAAATTCATAGTCACAATTTTTTTTAATAAGCATTGAAAGTTCGAATTTTAACAAAATACGTAAAAATCACGAAAATTAGCAATTTATTTTGAGTTAGAAATTCATAAAAATTTTTCTTTTTAAATCTAAGGTTTGAAAAATCTATACAAGATTCTTCATGAGTTTTTCTACATTTATCAAAAAAAAAATTCTACCAGAAAGTCAAATTAAATTTTTATGAGCATTTGAATTACAATATTAGATATTTACTCAATTTCTGTTGTACCAATATTCTTATTTTATTGTTATAAAAAAAACGAATAATTGTAGAAACTTGAAATTTACACCAAATATTTATTTCATCATTTCCTATGCTTGATAAAATTTTCAAAATATTCCAACAATTTTTAAGTTATTTATAGACGTTTGAAATTTTCCGTTTTTTTAGTTTTTTATTCTATAAATGTCAATAAAATTTTATTCGTTGTGTCAAAAAACTTGAAAATTTAATACAAAGTTCCCCATAAGTTAGTATAACAGCAGATAGAAAATATTAAAAATACATAGGCACGACTTTATTTTATAACCATTTAAACTTCAAATTTTTGCAAAATTTGTTGAATTGAAAATTTACAAATTCATTAGTTGTTAAAAATTTATAAAATGTTTAACTTTTATAGCTAAGGATTTAAAATTTGAAACAAGGTTCTACGTAACATAATGAATCTAATTTGATTAATTTGGAATTTATTTTATAGGTACCGAAATTTTTTTTTGAAATAATATATTTTATATTGTAAAATTTATCCAAGACTGAAAACTCGTCTCAGATCAGAAACGTTTTTCGTATACAATGATATTATATCATTGAATTCAAATTTAATACCATCCATTACAGTAACCCACTTGTAAATCACTGTACAGCAGAGCGACATCCACTTACTTACCTGCTTTTTTTATAAATGTACTTTAATTACTTATAGGTACCTTTAATCAATTTATTTTAGTCGCACTAAATAAATACCACGCGTGTATTTTAGATACTGCCCGTCGCCCGTCGGACGGTGTGATTTTATGACGTCACAAGTAAAACGAGACTTATTTAATATATACCTAAACATGGAACGAATATTGTCTGACAACTTTAAGACCACCAAAATTATTCTTTTTAAATGCACTATATTCTCACAATAAAAAAAAAAAAAAAAATCGATTTTTTTTAGTTGTGTAGTCCTTTAACTGTTAATTTTTACTTTTTATCATTTACTGCAGATTCCGCAATCTGAAGAAGAATGGCTAGCTGTTGCAAAAGGGTACGAAGAAAAATGGAATTTTCCACATTGTCTCGGTGCTATAGATGGGAAACATATACAATTACAAGCTCCCATAAACAGTGGAAGCGAATACTTCAACTATAAATCTACATTTAGTATTGTGTTGATGGCTGTCGTGGATGCTGATTATAATTTTTTATTTGCCGATGTTGGATGTCAAGGGAGAATTTCAGACGGCGGAGTTATTAAAAATACTGAGTTTTATAAATCGTTAGAAAATAAAACATTGATGATACCCGAACCAACATACGTGAAAAATGTGGAAAATAAAATACCATATGTTTTTGTAGCAGACGAGGCATTTCAACTAAAAGATAATATTATGAAACCTTTCAGTGGTGTTCAACAAAAAGGCTCTGTTCAGAGATCATTTAATTATCGGCTTTCGAGAGCCCGTAGAGTTGTGGAAAACGTTTTTGGAATCTTATCTTCAGTATTTAGGGTTTTACGAAAACCAATGTTGTTGGAACCTAATAACGCGGAAACAGTAGTCTTCGCATGTGTTTATTTACATAATTTTTTAAGAAAAAAAGAAATTACAAACAATGGTTTTACATATGATGAGGAAAAAGAAGGAAATATCAATGAAGGTACTTGGAGGCAAGATAATATCGATATGGGATCTTTTACATCATTACCAAGAGTCGGACGAAAACCCACAAGAACAGCTGAAGAAGTTAGACTCGAATTCGCCAAGTATTTTTTTTCAGAACGTTTACCGTGGCAAGATAATTATGAATAATTTTTTATTAAAAATATTAGATAGGTAGGTACCTATTGTTTGATGTTAAATAAAAATTACCAAGTCTCTTAATTCTGTACTATGAGGCATGAGTACAGATTATTCTTATAGTTGTTTAAACTTTTATAACTTTATTTTAAATATTTATCATGATATGTTAATTTAAAAAGTATAATAATTATTCTCTCTTGCTGTAAAATCGTAAAAAAAAAAAAAAAATTTATAAAAGTTAAGAATTTGTATTTAAAACTGTTAGGTATATTAAAGTTACAAAATTATAAATTCAAGGTTATTTTTCAAATACAAAAAAAAATCGCATAGTAAATAATATTTTAAAAAAGCGTAAAAAAAAATATTATAATGATTTTCTTTTATTATAATATGCAAACTAAAATGTATAATAATGTAAAACAATTAGGTATATACAATTATTTGATATGAAACAAACAATGCATCATGAGTTCAGTTTTTATTTAGATTTAGTGTGATACGCTAAAAAATAAGTGTTTTATTTTATAATGACCAATATAGGAACATAAAGCTTATTATTTTTTTTAAATAATTATTATTAAAAAATAATCACAATAGACATAATATGTATTATTATATTATAATGATATTCTGTTTAGATACTTACTATTTGATTTACATTCATCGTATCTTTTGTTTGCCTTGGCTTATATTTGTCGTTCAAGAATTGCATTTCATTGAAAGCAAACCATTTGGATTTATATAAATCATCTGTACCGGCACCTGAACGATGAGATGTATCTTGCCTTTGTCGTTCTCTACGATAAGACCCTTGAAGGCTTTCTATTTTTTTTTTAACATTGGTCACATCTGTGTTCATTTTTGTTGCAATTTCTTCCCAATCATCCATTTTTTTTTTACTATTTTTATAATTTTTGTCCAGCGGATCCCAGAGAATCCTTTTTTCTCTATACAACTGAATAAGTTGCAAAGATTTGCAATCTGGCCACTCCATGTATGCAAATACAATTAGATACAAATAATTTTATAAGTAATAAAATAAAACACACTTCACAGTTGACGCGTAATGTCGAAATGAACGCACGACAACATTTGATCGTATGGCGTCCCAACCAAAATCAAATTTCTTTTGATGTACCGCTACCAGAGCGAACAGGTCCGCACACGTACGAATAGCGTTCGTACGCAAACGGAACATGTCTCGACCAAGTCGTATGATCGTACGTTCGAACGTACGGAGCCGTTCGTGCGGCCGTGCGTTTTGGTGGATACGCACCTTAACGCGTATTGTGAAATTTGAGTATTTGTGTCTAAATGTGTACGAGAGTAGGGGTGTTTACAAATAACTGATTAAAATACAATGGTTACACTGTTGTTGGTAAGATGAATTGCTGCATAATATACGATAGAATAACAATTAATAGCACGGAATATAAAAACAGCAACAAAAAGGTATACAAATATTGTATCAAATCTGTGTCTTAACTACCCTCAGCTCCGTGGCACCCTTGGAAAATTTTATCTTGGAGCTTATTTTTGTTTTATTTTATAGGTATAATTTTTATATAAATGTCATAAATTATTACTCATAATATAACACTCTTACGCGTGTTAATCAAAATAAAGCTATATTTTTTAAATAATTGAGTCTTTATAGTTAATGAGTTATAATAGATTGTTAATATTATGTAGGTAAATCTTAATTTACAAAAAAAAAAACCGAAAAAGTACAATAGATCATTAAAATTAAAATTAAAATTTTATCTTTCTAGCCTTTGTTGCTGCGAAATGGTCTATAATATCATCATAGCTGTTTGAATTACTCCTTTAAATTTCAACTGATAATATTTCTAAATTTGTAAGGCGCTCCTATCCTAACATTGAGCAATGAGCTTCGATAATTTTTTATAATTTTTTATTTACTAAAACTTCTTTCGCAAGAAGCCACTGGAAAGTAAAAAATATTCTTAAGGCTAGGTATTTTTAGTTTTTATTATTTTTTTTTTTGTTTGGTTATATATCTAAAGACTAAAAGTAGTAAACCCTAATAAATAAACATCATCAAAGCGCAATCCAGTATGTAATGTTTGAACATGACACATTTACACTTATTTTTAATAAAACTAAATAACATATGAGAAAAAATGTTATAAAAAAAACCAATTTTAATTTAATTCAAATGCGCCCATGGCAAGTGCCCATGTCGCCAACCTCAAGTTACCGCACTGATAATAATAATAAATCACAGCCCTTATGGCTAGACAGGATAAATCGGTAATATTATGGCCCTTATTGCCAAATAGAATAAATATAATATAAATTTAGTTAGAGCTAAATGACTTAAAATGACTAAAAAATCAAGGTCGGTGCAGCGCAGACTGGCCAGCTGGTCCTATATTTCTATAATAATAAGAATAAGAATAATACACTACAATATTATGTTGAAATAAATAAAATATTATTGACAATTCGCGTCCACAATCTAATATGGCAAAATATTTGGAGATTTGCTTTCACAATTTGACTATTTTTGTGGCGATTAGCACATACATTAAAGAGAATATACTAACTGGCCCGTATGGCTAACAATTATAACAATATAATATTATATGATTAATTCTTCGTTCTATAAAAAAAAAAAAAAGTATAATAATTTTGACATACCTGTGCTTACGCGACAACGTACGGTCCAAGAAAAAACAAGGCAGCCGTGTTATTATTTTATTCTCGCAGCCGGTGAGGCGGAATGCGATATCGCGTTGATTATCTACATGATGTGTGTGTGTGTGTGTGTGTGTGTGTGTGTGTGACGTGACACCATGTTCCGCCGTGACAGATATTATACAATAATTACCTACGTTTGCGCTCCGGCAGAAACAATTATATTAACTTGGGCCGACAGTAAAATTCTACTAACTGATACTTAAAGTCAATTGAAAAACCGTGACTTAGTCAATACAATTTAATATAGTACCTAATACAATATAAAAACGTATTATTAATGAACCTTCGTCATTCCTACTTTTTAAATCAGCAAATGTTTCAATAATATCATCAACATATTTTAGTTGTTCAGTAATTTCTTTTTCTATAGATTTTATAGTAATTTGGTGAATTTTTCATAGATCAGATTGCTTCAAAGTTAGTTTTTTTATAATTTTCAGCTTTGAAAATCGAATTTTAATCATTAACTTGTTTAAAATACTGTACATTAATTTTAAGTCAAACTAATATAGTTAGATAAGAAGTAAAAATTTTAACAATTGAATGTATAAATATAAATGATACATTTCTTTTTTCATTGACCCATAATAAAAAAGCGAGGCCCGTCCAACTGTGGTGAAAGTTGCCCTAGGGACCATGCCCTAGGAACGGAACTGATTCAGACACCATTTAATATTAAAGAAATTAAATCTAATACAAATGCAATGTGATGATTAACTTTTTATTAGGTACATACTTTAAAATATTTACAAAAATGTTTTTGTCTATAGGTACATTTCTTAAACAATTTCAATCAAATAATATTCATATTATGTTGATGTAAGGTACACATATTTGTATATTATACTATAGTTAAAAACTCTAAAAAAATCATTAACCCTAATTAAAAACATTGCTGTTATTTTTTATACAAAACTATTTTTAATTTAAATGTTTTAGAAAAAAAAATCACTATCTGTTTTGCTACTGTGTTTTAACTATTATTATTAGATATTATAAATTCACGAAAAAAATCATCTTAAGCACTATTCTGAGATTTTTCAGTTGAGATGGCAGTTTCAGTTTGATTACAATTGATATACAGTATGTATATATAGTATGTGCAACTTTGGATTTATTCGTTGGGGGTGCTCGGCTTTCTTCCTAATAAGTGAAGGAACATAGACCCGTCGGGCCAATATCGTAACCCCTTGGGTAGTACTGGAAGATCATTTCGTCCCAAAAGAGCCGGAAAATTTTCACAAAGGCTTACATGAAATTCATCTCTTATTTCTGGCTTGCTAATCACCAATCGTATTACTCTAATCTTCATATCGTCATTGTCCGTCACTTTGTACAACTGTTGGCAGAATAGAAAAATACATAATATAGAAGAATGAAAATTAATTAACAATAACTAATATATATATATCAATATGAGTACACTTAAATCTACCCTCCAATCACAATCCACAATTGATGATAAAGTTTTGTTTTAGACCTGCAGATTTCACACTAAGATTAAAATTAATATACGACTATAAACGTGACATTAGTGTAAAGACGTCATAGACGAATGACAATCAGTGATACCACTGATAACTATAAAATAAATTTAATGATTTTTTTGGTTCAATATTTCTTTTTTAACGCCCAAGGATTGTAGATTGCTGTTTATTGATTATCAAACATTTTTAAATTAATATATTATACTTCATTATTAAGTATACAAAATATATATGATAATATGTGAATCATGCAACCGATAAATAGTATTTGGTGAATTTTATGTGCAGAATACAACAGGGAGACATGAAAAATGAAATAACTTATTTCCTAATCAATATATTTTTTTATATATAATATATTGATTAATGCGCTTCGCATATACCTTGTATACACTAAGGCCTAAATCATTTGACTAGGTATGCAAAAATATAAGTTAAATTAGCTAGTGTGCGTATAGTTAGCGTTTGCTGGTGATGGTACCTTTTGCCATGATTATAATTTTAGTGCGTTAGATCTATTTTAAGTATTTAATTATTACAATAAACTACTCCCTGAACATACAAATGTTTATATAATGATCTCAGTACACCAATAATAAGTATTAAACCACCACCAACCACCCAAGTAACAATGAAAAACCTATATAGATTGTGTGTAAGAATGATATTCAACCACGTGCCTCCCTCCTCACCGCCAGTCGAATAATCAAATTTGTTATACAAATTCGTCTACTGCAATAATATACAATATAAAATAACATATAAACAAAGTAAACTCACGGCACATCTGTAGGATTTTGTTGGGATTACATTTATTGAATTATTATCTGCAGCATATTCCAATAGTGATGTATACTGCCAGCCTTTTAGAATTTCGACTTTATTAGTCGGTTTATCTTTTGACAAACACTTGAAAATGAAGTGGTCCATTTCTAGCAGAGCATAATAACAGAACAAAATGTAATAAGTATGATGAATGTTTTTGTTAGGGAATAATAAACGATTGGACCTGGAGTACAGGCCCTGCTATTTTAGGCGCCCGTTGAAAATAATTTTTAATTTTTGTTAGTTATACAGATAACTAAATACTTATTTTAAATATTATAATATTTTACGATGTATGTAATTATTTATTTTGATATATAAATATATTATGCTTTGACTGATGAGGGTTAACCATTGATTACATACAAATTATCATCTATGGGACACCCGTATGGGTTGTAATTATTTTCGATTAGAATAATTAAATTTATATACTTAGGCCCTATGCTCGATGCAATACACTGCGTGATTTACACCGAATCATAATTCTCAGCTTTTAATAAATTATGCTAAATTTTATGATTGGATGTTTTGTATAAGGCTCTTAAAAACATTTAGTACAGGTGGCCAACATTTGATGGGTAGGGAGTGGGAAGTGATTATGAGAGGATTGTCGTAGATTATGCTATACTGGGAAGATAATAAGGAAACAACAATAGATACTATAATAACGTTTAACATTAAACAGGAAATAACGATTTGTACAACTGTATCTGTAATCAAAATTGACATAGGCGTTCGCAAGAAGAGGTGGGGACGGTGGGGTAGATAATGACCTCTCAAAAGTGTTAATTATTTGTCACCAAATTTGGTGTGTACCTATATATAAATTACTGAAAATTGTATAGTATCTTATGTATTGAATCGTGACTGTTAGAATAAATTATTTTTAATTATATACATATTATAACAATTATGCCCCTCCTTTTTATGTAATTTATATACAATATACATCAGTGAAATATAGTGAATTCACTATTCTGTGTATATGCGTATTAATAGTAGTTCTTTTGAAAACTATCATAATAGACGTAATCATCTGCACTGCTTGAAATTACATTAAGAGGTTATTAGTTTATTTTTTTTTCAGGAAGAATATTTAACTGTTTTCTACTGAAAATTCAGTAGATACAAGAAATACATAGACTTATATAATATTATTTTTTATTTTTTGGATTTGATCGTGGATTTGGCCATTAGCTGTTTGTAGGTTTAAATTTTATGGAACACGTATGTGTTTTCCAGAATTTTTAGTGGGCACCCCTAGGTTTCTGTCATGCCCAGGCGGGGGGCGGCGGCCTCTCTCTCCAGGCACCGTGACTGCCCGAAGAGCGATGCCGCCCGTGACCGAGATTCGAACCAGCGCTTTGGTCGACTCGGCCACTTCACCGCCCCCATAATATTATTATAATGTATGATATTCTCCTAGTTTTAGCAAGAGATAGCACTGTTACCACAGACGGAAATGTACGTTCCCCCTCCCCCCCCCACATTGTACATTTATGTTATAAAAATAATGATTAATGATACATACGATACGTGTGGTGACAATTTCCGTGAAAGTTCCCGGAGGTGCCTATCACGTAGTCTGGATCTTCCACCCACAAATGAAAGAGTGGATCAGAACTACTTAGGTTGTCGAATCCTAGGTAGGCGCATCCGTACATTTTTGTCTCAGTTTGTAAAGTCGCTAATTCGAATTTGTTCTCTTTTCCGAGTGGAGGACATAATAAGCCACGGAGACCACGCTTGACTGTAACACATAGGAAGACAAATAAAATAATGCATTATTATTATACTGTTTAAAGTATTAAAAATAATATTTATTTTAAATTATATTGTATGCAATGTATAATAAGTACTAAATTCCTTCTTATTTATTACTAAATAATAATTAGAACCAAATTAGTATTAGAATATTTTAAGAATAATTTTTTAATTTTACTACTGTTGTAAGTCCTGAGTTATTAGAGAATTTATTCTTATTGTTTGAATATGTAGGTTCGTGTTATATCTTTACTCTTATACCAAATGCATCATTACTGCAAAACGACAATAATTTTGATTAAACTGTATCATTATAAATGACATAGATTTTCATACACCAAGGCTTTTAAATTTAACTGTAGGTACACAGGTTTATAATATTGTTAAAATAAAATGTGGGAAGTACATTTTTGCTATTTACATGAATTTCATCAAAATGACATTGAGTGAATCATACAATTGATTATGTAATTAAACTCAACTTTGTTTTCAAATTACATGGTTAACAACTTATGTGGAACTTTGTATTACATTTTAAAGTTTTTTAATCAAGTAAAACATTATGTATCAATTGATTGAAAAATAAATTTAAAAACTTTAAAAATGTCTCTTGGCTATAAATAGCTAAAAAAGAGTCGATATATTATCGTATACAAATTGTATCATAGTCATAGATTAACATTTGGTAAAAATGTTCAAGTTTCTACAGTTATCAGTTTTTGAGTTGTACTCCAACTATATTTAGAATAATTATAATTAAAAAAATTATACTATTGCGTTCCTCTTCTTCTGGTGTAATCGAGTCGACTGAAACGAAGGAAATGACGGCAAGCAAGATTAATATTTTTGTTGTAAATTCCATGGTGTTGTGGATCTCTTGAGACAATTAGCTAAAGTGAACAGTAAGTAAAAATACCGGATGTAAACAGACAGAATAAACACAAACGATCGCGAGCAAGACTGTTACTGTATCGATCGATGACACACGACTGACGATAAATGCTCTGCATTCCAGTATATACGCCATGGCGGTGGCGGTGCCGGCGGCAGCCGTGGTGATTGTTACCACCACCAGTTAGGCGTGGAAGGTATTGTGGTATTATTCATATATGTTATATTGGTACACAAACTCAATACACCATACGTTGAGATCGAACAATACACGCCACTGATACGCGCATGCGCAAGAGTCATAAGAAATACAATAATAAGAAAAGGTAAATGATACTAAATCGGGTTCTACCCATAACAATATATTTTTTCTCCTCATTTTTCTTTAACTTTACGAGTTTACTACACTTAATGCCGGAAACTTTCGTATTTAATATAGTGTACTATACTGTATTGTAACAGTGGCTGTAACCCGATTGAGCTAGTCCTACCTTTTGCATGCAAAAAGCGCAAAACGATTGAGCTTCATGAAAAATAGATATTGTCATTCTAACAATTTTCCAGTATCTACACAATTTAAAAATATAATCGGATTGGTAAACTCCAAGTTGAAGTTTCAAGTTCGCGTTTCGAGCTGTACCTATTTACATTGTATTATAAACATTTGTCATTATTGTTTTCGTAAACCTACTTTTCCAATATGTAAGACATAAGCATAACATAAAGACATGCAATTTTCAAGATGAATTAGTATCAGCGTGTCACTCAAACTTTTAATTTCAACTTTGAGTGTACCACTCTGACTGTTAGAATTGCAGAACGGAGCGCAATCGAGTTCCATTTTTTGATGGTGAAAAGGTAAAATGGGCGTAAACTTGATGAGTTTTTTACATGCAAAAAGGTAGCATGGGTGCAATCGTGTTTCATCAGCATGTGGCACCAGTAAAAATATAATTTCTAAATAATTAGTTTTCAGGTAAGTTTCAAACATACAGTTAGTATTTGGTACAAATATTATAGTGTCAGAGGCTTAAATATTAATAATACATTTTAATATTTTATCTAAAATCAAACCGATCGATCTAGTACGATGTTGAGATATTTAGTATCTACAGCACTCCTGGTAGTTGTGAAACTCAGTAGTAATATAAGTGTATAACACGCGCTAGACGCTCTTTTTTTGGACTACACAAAACCGAATAGTGATATTTTGATCAACTTTGTGAGTTTTTACATATTATTAAGTCTAACACAACAAGTGGTTAAACCTTAAACACTGTACATTTAAGATAAATAAAACGTTAAAAAATATTGAAAGCAAAGCAACTGAAGGCGGGATGGTTCATTAGCCTCCAAAATAACAAAAGGTTAATTGCATTTTCCTCCAAACAATGGGGTTAAAATTATGTCCATTTCCTTGAATGTTGTTCAATTATTAAAAATATTTAACCGATATTTTTATAAAGAAAAACCAAATATATTTATACGGATCAGTATTGTGAGACAAATTTAAACAGATATTTAAGAGAAGCTCTCTACATAATTAGAAGCTACTAAAATGGGTTAAACTGATTATTAAAAATTCGTATTTTTTTTATTAACATGGAAATGTAAACTGCTACCTAAGTATATTATTAACATCTATAATGAAATAATGTAAAAATAATGCTAACGAAAGATTCAGAGCTCTCCGATGAATATATTTTGTGTACCTACATTAAATATATTTTTATTATTTTTTATTTGTAGTAGAAAAAATTTCTCTTATCATCTGCATTGAAGAAGGTTTCTAGTAGGAAATTGGATCTAGTTGGTAATCTAGAGGGGAGGAAAAGTATAAAAATATTGGTACTTTTAAAAATAATTTAGAAAACTAACAAATTCATTAAGGAATAACATGCAGTTTTACGCAGTGGTAAAGCCAGATTTTTGAAAAACCAAATTTAATAAGTTTGTTTTCATCAAATATTTTTAAGTTTACCCAAAGAGAATGGAAACTTATTACATAAAAACGAAAATAATTCTTAAAAATTAAAATTAAAATTATTTCAACTTAATTATTTTATAAAAAACTTAGAAATACGTATACGAGGTTTTTTTCTCGTAGACATTTCAAGTTTATTTATTTATGAAATGTAAATCTTGTCATTGATTAGATCACTGTAATGTATGGGTTAAACATGAATTCAATGATTCATAATTGCATACAAAAAACAAATCTTAGTGCAGTCGCCTAGTAATATGTCAGCCATATTACTAAGTATAATTAAAGTAATGTATATTTCTATTAGTAATACGACATTTGGAATTGATTTTTTTTGAATTTTAATTGAAATATCTTATATGAGTAATTTTGTCTACATTTGAACTTAAAATGTCTATAAGAAAATGGTGCTTATGTATTTTCTAGATTTTTTTGGTTTTGAAATAAACTAATTATGAGAAACTTTTCATTAAATTGTCAATCCTTTGTTAAAAAATATTAGAATTTTATAACTTTTAGAGATAAAATAATTTTATCAAATAGGTAACAATTTTCAATGTTATTGAATTATGGTGAATTTTGTCAAAATTTGAACTACAAATACGTGAATAACGATACAATTCAAAAGTCGGTGTCACATATCCACTGTCCATCTGTCCGCCACTAATGCCTTTAGGAATCCCAAGGTCGGAATTCCAACACAACGTACATCCGGAACAGTTTAGGCTGGCCACCTGCCCGCATTTATAACACATTCCTGTTTAGAAAGTAGAAACACGAAAAATGCATTAATAGTAAGACGATACGGTTTAATAATATAATTATTTATTAGGTACCTATATATTATTTCATAAACATTCGTAAGAGTCGCGTATCGTTGTATTCCAGTGTTCTGAACGTTCACCACGAAAAATAATTAGTTCACCTTCGGTCCTTAAAAAAGGAACTCGTTCATGTTTAAGTTTGTGTTTTTTTTAAATGAACGCGTTCACATTCACGTCAATTGAAAACATTAATACGTATTAATTAATATTATTAATTCGTTCACTATAGGTCATTCATTACAATTTTTAATTTGTTTATAATAGGAATTAAAATTAAAAAATATAATATATTAAATTATATAATCAAAATATTTAAAAAAAGTATTTATTAAATTGCAAATAAATTAAGCTTTCTTAAAATCATTTAATTTCATTAAAATATAAGCGTCGTTCACGTTCACGTTCAATTTAAAAAAAAATTAGTGACGTTCGCTTATCGTTCTCTCAATATGAACGTCCGTTTTGCGTTTGTGAACGACGTTCTTTTCAAACACTAGTGTATTCAGCAATAACTGATCTCAAAATAAATATTTTTTATCGGAAAAAAATGAATTTATAATATATTAGGACATTAGGTATTATAATCAATTTGATAATGGGATGAGTCTTAAATACCTATCTTAATAACCTAGTCTTAATACCTAATAAGAACATATATATTTTAATTTCATATAGATACGCATACATTTTGTATTTGTGACTAGCTGTGCTACAATAGAAAAACAGATAACACAATATCCCAATTTTAATTTTATTTACATCTCACGAGTCACACATTGAAGTAATCAAAATGTATGCTGCATATAACATGTTTAACATAAATCTTTTAATTTTAGTCACTACACTTCAACCTTATAAATTGTAATATTTTAAAACTGATATGTTTTAATAACATTGTACAGTAGACGCCGCTTATAAGACTCACTTTGGGACCAGCACAAAGTGAGTCTTATAACCGAATGAACCTTATAGGCGAAGTGGAAAAAAAAAATTAATTACGTATTTATAAATTTTATTTTATTACATATTTTGCTTTGATTTTATTAATACATACATTAAAATAATTAAACGTTAATACATAATATTACATATAAAAATTATTTTTGAAAAAAATTAAATTTAAATAATTAAACGTAAATACATATTACATATAAAAATTATTTTTGAAAAAAATTTGTAATTTTAGTTTGTTTTTTATTTTCTTCTAATATTCCGAAAATATACTGTTCGTATTCGTATTGTATATTAAAATTATTACCACGGTGATGGACAGCTCTCCTTATCACGTCTAAAGCCACCAGATAATCAGTACACTATAATAACGATAATCGTTGCGATAAATGTGAACTTTTATCTGCGATAAAAATTATTATACGTTATTAGGTACCAACAGAAACTAGAAATAATCAACACGAATATTATTTAATTTTTCAATACCAATTTATTTCTAAATTATAACCAAAAAAGTTTGTTTTCTACTATTTATTTTACGAAATTTGAGTCTTATAACCGAAGTGTTGAGTCTTATAACCGATTTTTTTTAATGTATTTGGACACGTCCGGACCGTTCCAGACGATTTTGAGTCTAATAAGCGACTGAACCTTATATCCGTGAGTCTTATAAGCGGCGTCTACTGTATTATAAATCATGCAATACAGTAGACGCCGCTTATAAGACTCACGGATATAAGGTTCAGTCGCTTATTAGACTCAAAATCGTCTGGAACGGTCCGGACGTGTCCAAATACATTAAAAAAAATCGGTTATAAGACTCAACACTTCGGTTATAAGACTCAAATTTCGTAAAATAAATAGTAGAAAACAAACTTTTTTGGTTATAATTTAGAAATAAATTGGTATTGAAAAATTAAATAATATTCGTGTTGATTATTTCTAGTTTCTGTTGGTACCTAATAACGTATAATAATTTTTATCGCAGATAAAAGTTCACATTTATCGCAACGATTATCGTTATTATAGTGTACTGATTATCTGGTGGCTTTAGACGTGATAAGGAGAGCTGTCCATCACCGTGGTAATAATTTTAATATACAATACGAATACGAACAGTATATTTTCGGAATATTAGAAGAAAATAAAAAACAAACTAAAATTACAAATTTTTTTCAAAAATAATTTTTATATGTAATATGTATTAACGTTTAATTATTTTAATGTATGTATTAATAAAATCAAAGCAAAATATGTAATAAAATAAAATTTATAAATACGTAATTAATTTTTTTTTTTCCACTTCGCCTAAAAGGTTCATTCGGTTATAAGACTCACTTTGTGCTGGTCCCAAAGTGAGTCTTATAAGCGGCGTCTACTGTACTATGAAACTGCAATACAATTTATATTTAAAAATAGTATTAGGTACCTACAATAATAATTATGATTCGATGGAAGGATTTCTACACCAATAATATGATGTTTTTTTCAAATATTT